ACACACACACACACACACACACACACACACACACACACACAAACGTAGAAGTCGAATCTCCTTTGCGTGGCGTCGACCAGGTGTCACGAGGATATTGAATCACGGGAGGTTGAGGTGAGAGGCGATGGATGATACATATTTCGCCGCCTCCTTCGTGCTTATTGTTTACACACTCGTAAATACACACACACACACACACAGCCTCTCCGCGCTCCCATCGTCGTTAATTGACGTGCTCCACTCGTCTGTTGTTTTATTTCCGTCCCTCGTTCCATCGCGGTTATTGCTTTTCATTAAGTGGTCATTTCCTTCACCAGGCGCTGTCTAATGAGAGCGTCACGCCGCCACGCGCCCATTTATCAAGCCGCGATGGCACGGCCTCGCCGCCGACCCACACACACATTCCCCCTTTCGATCTATCTGCCATCATGTCCCTGTCTCAATTAGGATTGTTTGTCGTTCCTCTGCCCTCCATCCCCTGTTCCCCCCCCCCCCCCCTCTTCCCGCCGCCTCACCGTGGCAGCCACGTCATTGTGTTTGACAGCTTCTCATTCTCGCGTCGGATCTCATTTGCCTGCTAATTCCGCACGCGCACACACCTCACCGCGTGCGCGAACCTCCTCCGGAACCGGCCTCTGCTGCTGGTCAGATTTTCAGAAAGTTATTGCGTCGCCGAAGTGGCAGATCTGAATCCAGCTCTGTTTCCTTGCCTCCCACACAAACACACACACATAATTGGCAGGACAAAGCAGGCTGCATCCCCGCTGTTGGCAAGATAAATCACAATGAAAGCCTCTCTGTGATCATGGCACAGCGTAGACGCTGTATAACCTGGCGGCGTGTTTCCAGCTCGTTCACACGCCAGGCTGTCACGCTCCTCCTGAGGAGAGTTTGAACATCTCATATTTCCAGCCACAGTTTTGACTCTTCTGCGTGTCTCTTCCAGCTCGTGGCGGTGTTTGACATCCGGCGCAGGAGGACGGAGAGCCCCAGGGAGACCATGTCCAACGGCTACTCCAGCGCCCCGCCGAGCCCCGAGCCCCTCTACTACTTCTCCCACCTGCATCCCCAGCAGCCAATCGGAGGGGAGATCGAAGTCAACGAGGCCATCCTCAAAGCCAGTATGTCACATCTGTTCTGGGCGATATCGAACACTCTGTACTGTACAGCAGGCGTTCTAGTTTTAGTTTCTGCAGAAATCTCGACGGCTGACGAGCTAAAGCGACGGCCAATCAACACGTTTTCTTGCGCTTGTGAGAAAATGTATCGTGTTGAGACAGCGGGAGACGTCTGCGTGCGAGTATGTGTGAGAGGGAGAAAGGTCAGAAAGTACATCTCTGGAACAGCTGTAAGCTGAACCTGCTGCGTAAAGAGAGAGGTATTTATTTATTTCTTCTTGTGTGTTGCCTGTAACTTGATTTGCGTGTGAGAACAGATGCAGCGTTGACGCGGCGCTCTCTCTCCCGCCGTCCTCACTCGTCGTTCTCGACATAGCCGGCTCTCGTTTTTCACACGCCGCTCAGCCGGAGAGACGCAGATGAGGCCGAACTGAGCGCTACTCAACAACGACATGACAAACATGATCTCTATAAGAGCCCCGCTGCTTCCTCTTCATGTCGTCGTCATTTTATAGCATGACCCTCACGACCACACTTATTGGAAGCCTCCTGTACAACACTGCACAGCCAATTGCCTTCTCTCTCTTTGTCTGCAAAGGTCCTGCAGGGAAAGAAAAAAAAGTTAGGGTCAGATAAAGACCGTAGAAAAACACCTCTGAGGTTCTCGGGGTCACTTCCACCAGTACAAGGTAAGTGGGAATGACGGCGTATGTGCACGTGTTAAACAGGAATGACATATTTGCGTTATAGGATACTGCTCCAGTGGGAAACATCATCACAAGACTAGTCAGCCAGGAGCCTCAGGGAGCCTCTGGGGGGAATGTGTGCTCCGTCTGTGCTGCAGTCATTCTGGCTATAGACACATTTCACTGTAAATAATCTAGATTTCAGTCCGGATCCTGTTTCTATTCCACCGTCATGTTTTGAATGACAGGAGGAGATAAAGGATTAAAAAGAGCCCGACAGACAGGGGGGGTCTGTCTAATCGCTGGGTCTCTCCCCTTTCATTTTCCCCCCTCCATCTGTGACAGTGAGCCTCCACCATACACACACCTGCCCCTCCGCCGTCCCTCGCCCTCTGCTCCGTTTATCGGCCCCCTCTCTCCGGCCCCCCCGTCCAGAAGTTTCTTGCCTACTCTACTATTCAGCTTCAACCACCTGCCAATGCCGCTTCCCACCCGGCCCCCTCTAGCCCCCCACTCGATACCTTCTCCGTCCCGCCCCGGCTCCCAGCTCTAACTAGATTAGCACTGTAGCCAGTTAGCATGCCCAGGGCCCCCCCCCCCCCCCCGTCCTGTCTTCTCCCAGTGGGACCTCTTCCTAACCCCGCCCCCCAAAACCCTGACTAACTTAGTTATGATGTGACCCTGTGACGCCCCTCATAGAGAGCCAGACTCATGCAATGAGGCAGCTTTTGTCTTTTCGGACATGCACGCACACACACAATGTGACAAAAGAACCCCGGCGTGCATTAAACAACCACAACCGGTCGCCTCTTCCACCGCTGGGAAGAACTTCTTTTTTTCTTTCCAGTATGTAAACTCTTTAACTGGGTTATCATATTTAAATGAAGGTAAACATTAGAGCTAACATCACCTGATAGCTGTATTACTGGCATTGTCAGGACATTAACCCATCCGTCAGCAAATCAACTGCTCGGAAGAATTGGGCCACTGCAAACAAACGTGGATGCTTTAATCACACTTATCACCGTAATCCGATAACCTGGTTGTGGTGTGCATGTAATCGCAGCGAGTGGCGGCGGACGGGACGAGGCGCGAGTCGGTAATCAGTCAGGGATCAAAGTGTTTGTGTGTCGGGTCGGACCGCTTGTTTGAACGGGGCGATTGGACTTCACACCGCCCCGGTGGGATGATTAGACCTGCATTGATCCGCTGCTACACACACACACACACTCCTAGGAAAAGAGTCCTTATCGCATCATCCCATGAGCAGCCTGAGCCGCGCTGCTCCATCGATTGGGAGAGAAGCAAGACCACCCTGGCCTTTGGCATGACGACACACACACACACACACACACACATGCAGACAAGTATATATAAACACAGAAGCCGCTTGTAATAAATGCACATAGTAGACACACACACCATGCACGCATCCTTGCACATACATACTCAAAGGCACACACATACACACACACTCTGATTACCATGTGTTCCTAGACACACACACGTTCACAGTCACACGCGGTCAGAAAGAAACATGATGCCTCTTTGTTTTCATCCCGGCCCCGGCGGTGAACTGCACAACTTTTCACAGAACTGAGAACAAGAGGAAATTCTGAAAATAAAACCTTAGTGTTCCCAGAATTGCGCAACAGTCGCAGATGGAGGGTCGGAGGCGGATAAACAGACGCGGGCCACTTCAGGGTCTCTCCAATTACACCGGTGTCAATGGAAAGGCGAGGGGAGGGCCATCACTCGTGGGTGTTTTTCGGTGTGTTTTACAGTTTTGTTTCTCCGGCCTTGAAGCGCTCGCTGGGATGAGCCCGGTGGGTGACGTCGTATTTAAAGTGGCAGGGCACCTCGTGGTTTTGGGCTGTGCAGCCGGCATCAAATTATCCAACCTAAAATACACCCAAAGTTATGGGGCTTCCACCTCCTCTCCGCCCTTTCGGCAGGAGTCGGAAAATGTCTGTGATCTTAAAATAAACAGAGAACTGTGCTCACGATGCGCAAAGGGAGCTGCAGATGCTGCTTTAAGAGCAAGTCTCTCAACATAACTTCCTTCGATTTATTTAATTTTATTCTATATTTATCGACTCTGGAGCCTATTTCCGCCGTCCCAGTCACCTTTAATTAGCAATGGCTCTGAGCCAATCTTGTTTACAACCGCCTAAACAGAGGCTGACCTAAGCGAGTTAAAACTGTCACTCTCGTCAATATCCGACCCTCCGCGACACCGCTTGACCCTCCAGAGTTCAGCGCAGGTCAGAGGTCAAAGCCGGTGGCCGTCGGGTTCCTTCACACAGCGGCCGGTGCTCCGAGCGGGGAGGATTGATGGAGGCGGATTTGACTCCGATGGCCAAACGGAGGAGGATTTATGGGGCTGACCGCCGGGTAGCGGACCCTGACTGTGACCGTGGGAAAAGAAAATGTCACCCAGCGTTTTAAAAAGCAAACGTGGGTGCGCGTATGAGTTTAAAATCCTGATACATGCTGCCGTCCCGTGAATGCACCAGACAGGTGGGTTCAGGAGACCAGCCGTTAAGTTTTACCGCTTTCTATACATGGCCGCTCCAAACTTGTGAACGTTTGCACGTGTAGGTCTGGAAAATGTCCAGACGTAGGAAACCGTGCTTCCTTAGGTTGTCCCAAAAACTCCACAGCATCCTCAGAGAGGACTCAAACACACGGCTCATTTAATAACGTTGTAAAAGCACCTGCAGTGTTTGACCTATTTTCTTTTTAGATGCACACAAGTATAATAGATAATCAGATAGAGGAACGCCTGTTTGATGTATTTCGTGTATTTCCCTGCTGTCGTTTGATGCCTGCACGGAGAAGATACCTTTATTTCCCCCGCATGTTATTGTGTTAAATCAAAGCATGTTTCCCAATCAAAGAAAGAAACGCGTTGCACACGGGCAGACGTGGGGTGAGACTGGGAGACTAGTCCGGCAGAGAGTCAACGGATACTTTATGCCAGTTAATAAAAACGATTAGTCCGACAAACCTGAACACATGTGGACGTTGTTTGTGTGTGTGTGTGTGTGTGTGTGTGTGTGTGTGTGTGTGTGTGTGTGTTGCCGCGGGTCCTTGGAATGAGCATTTTTCATCTGTCTACAATCACATACCACACACCCTACTACCTCTGCTCTCTCTATTCCGACCACGTTGGACCAGGACCCTGTCACTGACCCTCCAAAGAGAGATTGATTACAGGAAAGCAGAGAATTTTGTTTGCCGTCCCCTTTTTTTCTGTGTGTGTCGAGGTTTTCTCCCTCCTCCGAGGTCACCCCCCCCCCACTCCCCCTTCCCTTTTTGTTTATCTCACACTCTGCCCTGTCTTTATTTTCTCTTCTGTTGAGTTAAATTTGAAAACACCCTGCCACGTACATCCACAAATAAGTCTGCTCCCGTCGGGGTGGATATTAAAAGCATGAGAAAGCACAAAGGTCCAAATTAGGATTCTTTTGAATAGATTTAGTGTGGATACATTTTTCTTTTTCCCCCCCTGATGCTCATCTCAATGAGACGCAGGCCAGCTGCTCGGTACAAACGTTTCCAAAAGATGGAAGTAAAAACTGCTCCCTTCTGCTCTCACCTCCTTCCCTCCGTGTCTCTAACTGTGTCCGTCTCCACGCAGACACACCTCTGTTGGTGAGGAGCAGCAGCGACTCGGCCTTGCCCCCGACCCTCGAGATCAGAGCCACGCCTTCGCCCGACGACCGCGGCAGCGGCTCTCCTGATCCGGTAAGTATGGTGTGCGCTGGTGGATGAATTCCACTGTGTTATTCAAAGGGGTTTCTATTTTTAAATAGGAAAAGAACAGAGTAAGAGTAAAAAGAAATGGACAAAACGAAACAAGCCGATACGATATGAAAAATGTAGAAAATACAGTAAATAAATAACGTGGAGAGATGAACATATCACATTCTCCATTACTTCAGTGGTGTGTGACGACGGAGCAACCCACTGAATACTCCTCTTGTGGTCCACGCCCCCCGGGCTGCACTTTGAAAGGGGTCGGCTTTTGAAAGTGCAGCCATTAAGGAGGAGGACTCCGTGTGCTGCCTTTGCTTGTCACGATGGCGGCTGTGTGAGGTCACCGTGGTACACACGTGTGTGTGTGTGTGTGTGTGTGTGTGTGTGTGTGTGTG